TGGTGGGAGATGGTAATTTTCCAGATGTCAGGTGGTCTGGTCACTGAACACTCTTGCCTAAGATCGTTGGGGGGTTATCTATAGGATTTACATGTCATAGGATTTGAGTCTCATGTCATCCCTGGAAGGTAGGTGCTATTATCCCCATTTTACAGAGTAGTATCTCCATGCATTGACGCACAACCAAAAAGTTCAGAAGTTTAAGTTCAGGGGCTAGTTAAAGCAAGAACAGGATCATTTTCTCATGCCTCAGCCTACTTGATTGTAGTAATTTAGCAGCTTGACTCCAGTGACTCCATTTTATTTCTTCACGCTTTCCTCAATCTGAAATAACATTAAGGCTTCCAGAACCGGATAAGCAGGTCAGAATCCAGGCAACCTGCCCCCTTCATGCTAACATCCACGTTCTTTTTGGTCCCCAAGGGCAAGTGCCCATGACAAATATGGCGGCGGCAGCCTCAGGCGGGGACACCTGCCAGGCAGCAGTCCCCAGAGCCGCGCGTAGCCAATCGCTGGGCGGGGGCGGAGGAAGAGGCCGGGAGAGCGGCCCCCCCGCGCGGCGCGCAGGAACACTGGCTCGCACCTGGCTCAGGGCTACCCAGATCAGGCTTCGGCTGCCTCTATTGCGGTGAGGGGCTGGCGGCGGCGGCGGGGCTCGGGGACAGGAGCAGGCAGGTCTGGGGGGCCAATCAAATGCAAAAGACAAACCAATGAGGCTGGAATGCCATCCGCTCTGGGAGTCCTGGGGGCTGTCTGACGCGGTCCCTGAGGTGATCAGATGGTAGGTTGGGAGAGTTCTTGGGTCAGGGTGGGAGAAAGAAGTTTAGGCTTAAGGGAAAAGGATAGAATTCTTGCAGAGGGGCTCCCTGTGGCTGGTGTCGCGGCATGTATCAGGTCAGGATTCATTTCATTAACATAATAGCCCTGGTGAGTAGTAAAATTACTTGGGGAGCTTAAAAGAACACCATGCTGGGTCCCATCCTTGAGAATTCCGATTTACTTGGTCAGGGGTGGGGCCTGGACCTGGGTGTTATGAGCAGGTGATTTTAACGTGCAGATGGGTTGGAGAACCTCCTTGTGTTTCGGCGCCGCTCGTGAGTAAAGAAAGATCTCCTGGATTGATCCCAGACTCCTCAGCGGCTTGGGAGGGGCAGGTGGTTCTAGGGTGAGGTTGCTGACCCTTCAGTACTGCTGTAGTAACCTGCCCTGGAGGGAAAGGGAGAAGGAGAAGGTCTCTCCCCCAATAAGGTGGAAGTTCAGTTCCAGCCTGAGGAGGAAGATAGGCCTGCCAGTGCGGGGCACCCGCAAAAGCCCTGCCACGGCTGGACCTCGCTGTGGTGGGACTGGGCAGAGAGATGAGGCTCCCGGGTGTGAAACAGGAAGCACAGCAAACAATTCGGAAGTCAGCTGCTTGTTGAGAAAAGGATACGCCTAATATTTGCAGAGTACCTGTATTATACCTTTCAATTTCATTTGATACCCCTGAGGACCGTCAGGGAACCGATTTGTTTCTCCTGCTTCACAGACGTAGGAATAAAAGCTTGTTAGTAATAACATGTAGACCTATCCCACCTCCAAATTTTGCTTATTACTAGCTTTTCCCCCTCTACACTAGTTGCTTCTCATACAGTCTCTAGACTCGAAGGGAATCGGAAGCAAATACCCACCTTCCTTCTGATGCTCCTCACTCCAGGGACCCAGTCTGGCATCCTTTGTTTGCTCCACCAAATCCATCAGCCCCAGCCATCCAGGAAGATGCTACTGTTCCCATCCTTTTCTAGTTTTTTTATCTCCCAGAATCCTGATGGGATGAAGAAGGGAGAGTATTTATTTATTTATGAATGAAAATAAGTGTATCATTTATTTATATACTTATTATTTTTATATGTCTATAAGTGTAGAAGGGGGAGTTTTACATGATACCCGGGGCTTCTTCCAAACAGATCTGATTCTGTCACCTCATCTCCCCCCATCCCATTGTCCTCAGGACAGAATCTTGTGTTACAACCCTTCGATCTGATGCCTTTCTACCTCCCTGCTTTGAGCTCTCTTCCCATATTTTTTCTGGTTTTCTTAGCACAGTGCTGGGCACATGGTAGAAGCTTAATAAATGTTACTTTTTGTTATTATCTCTAGTCCTCTGTGCACCTGTTGCCTTGCTGTACATGTTTTACTCAGCAGGGCACATGGTAATAATCTTGATGGATTCCCCACGTTGCCAATTTCTGACTCCCACAGCCAAGCAGAATGCAGAGCTGAGAGGCACAGTGGGATCTGGGATTGATACTCCTCCTCCTATGGCTGCTTCTCTTCCCTAGCGCTGGGATGCCCCTACCGGCTATTTAGGGGCAAATTGACCCAGTAGGTATTAGTTGAGCACCTGCTGTGGTAAAGGAGCCTGGTGGAGGCAGAGTAGAAATTAGGGGGGGCTGACCTGGTACTGTCCTTAAGGAGCTTGGGGTCTGGAGGAAGGTAAGGGAGGCACTTGGATCCTGAGACAAGGGATCTTAAAAGGGGTGAGAACACATGACTAGGTATACTTGGAAGTCTGGTGCCACTGACCTAGGCCTTGAATCAGCAGGATTTGATAAGACGTTGGTGGGGTGTGGGCATAGTGACATGAGAAATGCTGAGATAATTTTAGTCAAAAATGCCTGTTTTGAATCTTGGCTCTAGCACTTAATACCTCTGTGATTTGGGGCCAGTTATTCATCCTTGAGAGCCTTGGTTTCTTTATTTATAAAACGAGGACTGGAAATAGTAATAAGAGTTATAAGGATTCATTATAATGGATAAAAGCCATTATAAAAGCCAGGCATATCTTATACACCTGAGAAATGGTATATAGTCACAGCTAGGGTATTTAGGTGGAAGAAACAGCATGAAGAAAAGTGTGGAGGTGGCATTTAAAAAAGAATTCGAGGGATGGCAAGATACACCCAGCAGTGAGAGGAATGTTGGGTGCTGGAAAGACAACTTCAGTCATGGATTTGGCAAAAAGGACACTGACTGGAACCCTTTAAAGATCATAAAACCAAACTTCAAAGACATAACAAAAAAGTAATAATACCTACTGTTTATAGAGGGTCTTCTAAGTGCCAGGCACTATGCTTGATGCTTTAAATACCTTTTGCATTTCGGCCCAAAGCAATCTAAGAGGTTGGGTTTATTCCCACATTATAGATGAGACTGAGGCCCAGGGAGAGGGAGTGTCTGGCTCAAAGCCATACAATTGGGACCATACCAGTAGTGGGGAAAGACAGAACCTGCCTCCAGCAGGTTACCCCACAAGGTGCCAAGGTGGGGGTGGAGTTGGTTGCAGGTTACAAGATATTTCACCTAGGTTATGCAACTAGGTGGTGTGGGCTCCTCCTCTTTCTCTCTGGGAGAGGGAGGTAGGGCTGTTGGTCTCTGCTGGGGTGGATTGAGGATGGGGGAGGGCTAGTAGGGGAAGGCATTTCCTGGTGGAGGAGAGGAACAATCTGAAAGAGAAACCGCTTTAGTGACCCTGCACACTCCTTGCTCAGCTTCTTCTCCTGAGCAGAGGCTTACCCGGACGGGCTGCTTTGCCTCCAGCTCTGCCTTGTGG